CCTTTGCGAGGAACGGAAAATATACGTCCAGAGGAATTCAATAATGTCCGTCGGTAAATTGCGAGAAGTAAAAAAGCCATTTTCACGATCTCTCGTCTCGATTAAAATGTTAAAGTTCGCAGATGCTGACGGAAGAAAGAGTTCAAAAGATGTTTACTTTGCGAAAAGTGTGTACACAACGCTAGAAAGCTTCCCTTTTTCGAGAGATATAAGACACATTTCACATGCAATATGACTTAAAGTTAAGAGAATGACGTATACACAGGGACGCGACGGCGCGACAGAGGTATTTAAATACAGAAGCCGGGAAGTAATTAGTACGAGAGTAAAGATACGAGGAACGATGTCATTCTGACGATGTAACATCGAGGAAATTAACTCCGCGCGCTCCTGTTTCCCGTTATGCCAGCTTTCAGAAAGTGTGTATATATATACATATATATATATATATATATATATATATATACATATATATATATATATATATATATGTATGTATGTATGTATATACACATAGAAGAGTATCGCGTTTAATTTTTTTTCGCTGCGGCGCGGAAAAGCGCCGTCGCGTCGTCGTCGCGCCGAACTTTCCAGCGTTTCGAATACAATATGTGCAGCCTATGCACATTGTATGCCGATGCGTATATACACGCAATATCGCGGCTCGACTGACGATGCGAGATATCGCGTTACACCGAAAACACCATTCTTATATTTCTGAATGAATCGTCGTTTCCGATTCTTATAACCGGCATTATTCCCGCCGGCTTCCTTATACTCCTCACATGTCCTTTCAGCTTTCAGCTGGTTATTGTAAACTTTCTCTCCTCTCTCCTCCCGTCTTTCTCTTCCTTGCTTTGTTAAAATTAGTATTTAAAAAATACTGATTTGCCATCAATGTTGGATGTATTAATTATAGTCCGATTTACTTTCTGTACATAGTGAAAAACATTTTGTATTTAAAATACAAGAATTGAGAAAAAACGGCTAATGAGAGAGTCAAGCGCGGTACTTAGGGTAACTCTGGTATATACGCCGCACTTGTTTAAAACTTATCAGGTAGTATTAATTATGTTTAAGATAAATGAACTATATCAGTAAAAACTTTATTCTGTCTACTACTATGAAAAAAATATTAGAAATCCAAAATATTTATTTTTATTTAAAAAATGCTTTAAACCCATGCATTTTTGACGTATAAAAATATGGGTGGATTATACGGCTACTCACGGGTGGGAGGGATTTAAAAAATATACAAATAATCTAAATAATAATGGTAAATAACACGTGAATTGATAACGTAATTTACATTGACTTATTAATAAATAAATAAAAAACGTATTATCACAGATTGTAAATAAATACATACCTAAATATATACATACATAAAAATTATGCTTAATGTATTGTAAAGGACGTATTATAAAATATTATTATTTGCTTTTATATTTATAAATAAATAATAGAGCGTTCGTACTATGGTATAAATCTCACGCGCTAAAAATGACGTATATCGTAAACAGATGGGATATACGAGACAATAAACTAAACAAAGAATATAAGAGCTAAGCACTTGTATTTTGCTATACTCTATCCTTTACAATTCCTCTACACTTGTACCATGTACCATGAAATAACCACGAATCCTTTTATATTTCCTACAATAATCATTTTATGTAGATTATAACTTGTGATTGCGCTTCTTATTACAGTGATAAATCGATTTAATAATTACAATAATTTTATAAATATATACTTACAATAATCTTATAAATATTAACAGTAAAAAAACTGAAATCATAACACAATATTAATATAACATAAAGATATGTAATAGAGTGGTTGCGAGAAAATTACTTTCACTTCTTCTATTTTTTTCTTACTTCTGCGGCATAAATCTTCGTGCGGTGCATATACCGGAATTACCCTACAATTAATGTGCATAAAATATTCGATTTTTAATAGTTACTTAAATATAGACGTTTCAGATTCAAGCTATTTTGCAGTGATACGAAGCTCAACGGAATTTTCTCCTTCTCCACACACACACACACACATGCGCGCGTGCGCGCGCTAAGGTCAACGCATTATTCAAATTGTGTCTATATCATGTTCAGTTAGAAGACCGAATAATCTTAAAAGCCTAGAAATTATTTCTCAGTTCTATGATAACAAAAAAAATTCTAACACATAATAAAATGAGGCACTCATCAGGTGTGAATTTTGTATTTATGTTGGAAACGGTCCACTCGACACGTTCTTGTTAAAATTTTGTGTCAAATTTTTAACATATTTGCTTGTTAAATTAATATAATGCGATTATGCTATTTAAATATTTTGTGTTAAATTGACATTCTCAGTGCCAATATTTCTCAGTGCCAAAATAACACAGTTTATAAGTAAGTGAATAAATAACATAAAAATGAAGTAGTTTTAAACCGTAAATTCGAAATGAATGAAAGATAAATATACTGGTTAATTTTATTGAAGAATAACGTTTCCATAAAATGTTTCCAAATTATAATTAAATGTTACATTTTTTATGTGTTAATTTACATAATGTTACTTTTTATAGCATATTCATCTTGCGTTAAATTAACATAAAAATTTGAGTGGACCGTTTGGGACATGTGAGAGACGTATTAAATTTAATATAAATTTTTCAACCGTGTGTGGATTTATTACAGTCTATTACTTTTTGTAGAATAATTTCTCGCTTACGTGAGATTATACAATCTAAGTAATTTGTTTACTCATGAAAGTTGTTAAATAAGAAGAGAAAATGCGTATTGCGTATCGCGGAAACTCCGCAGCGTATAGAGCGACTTTTTAAATGCATGAGCTTTTTTAATGGCATGTTACGTGTTATCGCCTGCACTTGCGGCAATCGATTCGCAGCTAATTTGCGGCTCACCATAGTGGCCTGTATAGATGGAAACTTATCTCATCAATACTTCGGAGCATGTGTTTGTTTTGTAGCTGCGGCATCGACATTTGCTTTCACAGCATTTCGGCTTTACACCTTGCGCCTTGTATCAAGACAATTAAAGTTTCTTTCTTTTGTCGTATATACACTGACAGATAAGAATATAATTTCTTACATCCTGTTCCACTTATTGTTAGTAGGATGGATTGTTCACAATGGTTTGAAATGCGTAATAAGTCTGTTTTTTTCCGTTAGGTTTAATTTGTCTATTGTGAATAACAGGTCTGTAAGAAGGTGCTTATATGTTTGTAATATCGTACTTTATAGAACGTGTTTGTCGCGATCGTGTTTGCGTGTTTTGTCTTAGCGAGCTTGTTCTTCTTACACCTGTTATTCACAATAAACAAATTTAAACCCATCGGAGAAAAACGGACTTATTCATTTTAAATCATTCGGTAATTAAACATATCAACGATATCAAGACATAACACTTTCTTGCACAGAAAACGATGATTATTACATATTTTATTAACTGACTCTTTTATACATCGATACTACACTGTAATCTTTAAATTTTTATACATCAATTCGTAATTTTTTATTGTTTAACGTTATCTTGTTTATCTCTGTTATGTTACCAAGCGATAATGTGTATTTAAACTGCATGTCAACCGTATTTTCCATTTTTTAAATCCTATATTTAATTTTAACTCGGTTTGTAATTTATACAGAATGTACGGGTTTTTATTCATTAATTATTTATGTAAGGCAGTTGAAAAGGACCAAGTCAGGCCGAAACGTCGTGAGTTATTGTAATAATTAATAGTAATATAATATTTTATACCGACATCTAAATTCTTGCTCGTTTATTGACCTGAACATACTTTTTTTTTTAAATGCGAGTGATAATTTATATTAAGATAAAAAATAAATAAAAATAATAGACTAAGGCCCGATTGCACCAATATTTTGAGTTTAAGCGGAGCTTAAAACTCTCTCTCTCTTTCTCTCTAAAATTTTGAGAAAGCAAAAAGAGAATTTGAAGCTTTGCTTAAGATCAAAATAACGTTGGTAAAATCGGGTCTTGTGAAAATAAATATATTTCTTGAAAAGAAACACATTCCGTTATTTTAGTAATTTTATTTATTTTTTTACATTTCAGATTTATATTTATTATTTCATCTTTATAAAATGTACTCTTACTTATACAGTCCTGGCCATAAGTATAAAACACGCTACAACGGGACCGTATCGAACGAAAAATAAACTGAAAGGCAGTTCTGTTAAAAAAGTAATATTTATTTTTATAACAATTTTGATGTTTTGTTATATTTTGTTCGTATATTAATTCTCCTTTGGCTTTTATTATATTATTTTTTTCAAGAATACGCGGTAAACTGATGTTTTATACTTATAGCCAAGACTGTACAAATATGGACATATAATTTCTTATTCATTTACGTCGGAAGGATAAAAGTGTATCAACTCCAGAGGAGACGTTTCCCTTGCATGCGGCTGTTTTGTTCGCATTAATTTCTCCGCGCAAGAAAGAATATCGCCCGGCATTTTATTCCATTTTTTCTGGATAGAAATAACTTCGCGAGCTAAAGAACTTTCCGCAATGAAGAGTAATAGTTTTCCCACTAAGGTTCGGAGTTTTCAAGGAAAAATTGCCCCGCTTGAAGATGAGAACCATTAATCGCGAGCGTAATATTCAAGCTTCTCGTAAACGTATCACGATGAGAAATATACGCGGGAAACTCAAGTTTCTCTCGGGCTGTTTCGTACAATAAGGAAGGTCAATCGATTCTTTTTGTGCTTCGTGCGGCGCGTAGCCTGCATGCTGACGAAATCGACATTCGCGGCCGTTTTGCGATGGAAGTCAAGAATTCCATTCACAGATTTCTGCAAGCTCTGCGCGCGGCGACACTCGTTGAAATGCGTGTAAAAAGAAAAAAAAGGAGGTTCATTCACACGGAGACGGTAACAGGAGACGACACACGAGCTGTCAGCGATTTTTCGCTGACGCGCCCGGGTTGCCGTCGCGGCGAAGCGAAACGCTACTCTACCTACGAAACGAAATCCCGGATTAGTCGCCGTCGGTGCAATCCCATGTGAAGATCGGAGTAAAGCCACAGGAATTTGCACACGGGAGACGGCACGATCGCGCGCAAACAACTTTAAAGACGAAAGTCGAGAGTAAGTTGTTCGAACGAAAATATAATCGGGAGATTTTGTGCCTATAATTAATTCTAAATCTTTGAATTAATCCTGTTTTGCTAATTTTTTTTTGTTAAACAATTAGTGCGTCTTTTGGATAAATCGAACAAACCGCACGCCGATAAAGGCCCGCCACCGCAGATGGTCGATGTTCCAATCGATCCACCATGTTGCGTTGTGTTGACGGATTCGAGGATTCGAAATATAGGTAAGCCACTCGAAGTCACTTTGCCGCACGGAATTGATATTTTTGAAAAGCATAGATCTAGTTGCATATTAATTCATTGAAAGTTTTGATAAGTATATTAATAAAAAGTTAAAATAACACGTAGTTTAACAAAAAAAAAATCAGAATAAAAGACTTATCACTTTCCATAGTTTTTTTGAACGCTGAATACGCGTCTGATTTTAAATTGCTCCATCACAGTTTAAGAAATTTGCAGTTAAAGTTGCAAAAAGGCTCTTTTTATTTATTTTGTTATATTATAACTACGACATCACGTATTGGAGATATTTTATTTGCAATTAAAATTAAACATGTTAGAACTATCGGTCCTCAAAAGGAATTTATTGTGTCGACTATGATTAATAAAGTAATTTAACAATATACGTTCCATTCGAAAAATATCTGTAAATTAAATTATTGACAACTTATTAAGTAGCTTCCAATTCTATATTTATTTAAACTGGAAAGTTTTTTAAATCACTGAATACAACACAAATCTAATATAAAAATTGATAAAATGGTGATTTGCTATGGCAAATGTCAAAACTTAATTAAAAAGAATTGTTCGAATTGCAAAAATTTATGTATAAACGTGTAAAGGACTTTTATAACATTGAATACGAATCCAATGTCAAAATTAACAAATTCAAAATAGAAGATGAAAATTAAATCATGTTTAAATTTCATGAAAAAACATATAAAGATGTTTCATATTATTTAATGCAAATTTAATATCTGAATTAAGATGAATTCCTTAAAATTCCAACTTTAATTAAATTTCTCAAAACTGTGACATGATGGAATTTAACAACTCGATTCGTATTCAGCATTCAAAAAGCTACGGGAGATGATTACTCTTGTAAAAAAAAATACTATTAGATACTGATAAATTATTAGAATATATAGTATGCAACATTGGATTTAAATGATTTTCTAATAATTTCCAATAGTTTTTTCATTAGTCTTGAAACACAATAGGTGTAGTAAGCCTTAAGCCGTAAAAGATTGACCAATTATAATCGATTATTCCCTTCACATTCGACTGCGACTGGATCTATATCTTACGGCTTATGGCTTACTGCATCTATTGTGTTTTGAGACTGAGGGTATTCCTAAACCAAAAATATTATTTTGATAATTAAAGTTGTTCAAAAACATATATGAGATTGTATAAGTTGCCAAGTATTTAATTAGGCAAAGGGACAAAAATATTTTTTAAATAAAACGTTTAAACCATCCAAAAATATATGCAGCAAAAGTTTAATGCCATTGACTTTCCGAACAATTTTAAGTTTCATAAAACAGACTTAGGGTGATTAAAATGATCATAATGATGTAAAAACTTGGCGTGCCCGGATTTCATTGATTAATAAGATGTAGGTATATAAAATGCGGGCGCGCCAAGTTCTTGCTTCATTATGATTGGTCATTACCATTGGTCATTTTAATCACTTTAAGTCTGTTTTATGAAACTTAAAATTATTTGGAAAAGCATTTACAATGGCATTAAACTTTTGCTGCATATATTTTTAGATGGTTTGAACGTTTTATTTAAAAAATATTTTCAGGACTAAGGATATAATTGCGTTCTAATGTTCAAAAGAAAGTCATTTTTTGTTGAATCGTGTAATAAGTGAAAACCGTCCTCTGTGTGGAAAATAAAAATCGGAACGTCAGTCGAATGTAAGAAGAGAGCGAAGAGTAAACGTAACTTCTATAAGGCGTAAATTGGAACAGCGAAACGTAAAAGAAGTGTTTGAAGAGTAAACGCTTCTTTTACATTTCCAATTTACAATTCCATAAAAGTTTTCGCCTCCGTCGCTTTTCCTTTACACTCGACTTGCGCGCCGAACTTTATTTATTCTAAAGCCGACATGCACAAATAACACAAATAAACAAACAGAAGTCTTATTCTCGGTCAAAACGGATCTCGACGTTTAATAATATTTTTGTGTGAATTCTTGTAATTTTTCTCTAATTAATGCAAACTGCGTCGATTATTAGTTAGTCTTGAAACGCAGTCCAAAATTAAAACTGGAGTACGTAATATAACAGATTGAATCGACAATCAATTTAATAATATTTTGACGCTAATCTCAAAACACTACGAAGAATAAATCAAATTAAACAATTAATGAATTAAAAACTCGTGGTAAACAATACATAGGGTGGCTCAAAAAGAAAGTGTTGCACAAACTAATATCTTAAAGAACCATGAATAAAAATATGTGATTTATGTATACGAAGATTTTCTTGTTATAATTAACGAAGGCCTTTTATAATTGAATTTTGAAATTTTCCCGGCGGCAACTTTGAGAGGGAATTTTAATATTTCAAATCGTACAGTCTTTTAAATTGAATTTTGAACGTTCTCCCGGCATCTCTTTAAGGGGACAAGTTTAAAATTTCAAATAGTACTCTGAAAAACGTAACACTATCGGATTACGTTAAAAATCAAGCCACTTTTACGTGAAAGGATTTTTTTTTAATATCATAGTATCAAAATTTATGAGCCATAAAATGTAGACATTTGTTGTACAAAAAATATCGGTGGATTTCTTTATAAAATCCGAACTTAAATTTTCTTTCACAGAATTCATTTTGCTTTGAAAAATCTTTTGACAATGGCAATATGTTACATTACAAATATCGTTTTTATCGTGCATCTACAAAATTTCAAAGGTTAATATTAATCACAATTTTCAGGCGCAACATCCAAGTACAGGACGCAGTCGAGCGTGTGCTGCCATTCGAGCTTTTGTGCACGGCACAAAAACATTCTCCTGATGACTGGAGCGATTTCGATCTTATTGATTATCCTTCTTCTGACGATCGCCAATCTCACGTTTTCCATAATGTCCGAGCACGACGCTCGCAATACTTCTGCAGGTTGGTAAAATTTTAACGTTATACGCAAACGGGCGAAGCACCGCATATTATCTTTCTCGAAAAATTGGCTTTCGGTCGCCCTCCGCAATCGCCAACTTCCAGCCGATGTCCTCGAGGAATCATCTCTTCCACCATACTTCTTTCACGATTCTTTCAGTTCCCGTTCAACCGGAAGCACGCGTGAAGCGAGCGATCAGGCCGGGCTTTCCTCGCGACGGAAGATCATTGTTGAAGTCCCGGGCGCGACGGACGATCGATGGCAGCTCATCCTTCAGCGATCAGACGCGGGTGCTTACGAGCCGGATAACGCGAGTTGCAGAAGCTGCAGCTGACGACGTGCCAACAATAAACGGGCGACACGTCGGCGCGCATCTGATCAAGCGGGAGCTATCTCGCAAGCGGAGAGATTGCGATCTGAGCGCGAAGCACTGCGAGAATTTGTTGCAGGCGGTGCAAAGCCAGCTCGAGATGCTCAGCAATAAGTTCCCGGCGACAAACGGCGGGAAATCGTTGCCCACGGATATTCTCAAGTGTCTCGAGTGCGCGAAAATAATAAAGCTGAACATTGCGGATGAGAGCGACGAGGATCACGCGGCGTCGCGATCGAGGGACCGATATTTCCCGTACGATTACGTTTCCGAGCCGAATCGCTCGAGCGATTACGGCACCACCGTCATTAAGCTGCTCGATGACAAGGCAGCCGAGAGCGGTGGCGCGAAGCGGCCGACTCAAGTCAATCGGACGGAAGCGGCGAAAATCCAGGCGGCGGCGGCGGACGACTCGGTTACGGACGGTCAATTACGAGACGTCACGAATCAATCATCGGCGAACACCACCGGTGTATCGGAAACCAGCAGTACCGTAACAATTGATCATACGAATTCCGATGAAAGCCAACAGACAGAAGCTGCATACGTGAACGGACGCGCCGACAGTGACAATTCGGGCGTCCGCGGTGACAAACGGCCGGGCGGTAATTCAACTGTCGACGACTCGCGGATGATAAAGATGCAAACCGACGGCGTGCAGTCGAGGATCGACCAGCAGCAGCAACTCCGTGTAACAATCGAGGGCAAAGGTATCACGAGCGTGAGGCCGCGGCCGTCCGCGATGATGGAGTCGAGCACCACGCGGTATAGCGCTATTACGGTGCGGGATAGCGAGCGATTCGTTGGAACCACGATCGCGGCTGATGCGATGGGAACAATCGAAACGGGAACACGGGCCATCGTCGATTTTACGAAGCAGATTACTGAAAACGTGACGAGTTTGCCGGCGGGATCCGACGTGACCGGAATCGACGGCGCGGGCGGCGGCGTCACGGTGATGCAGCAGCCTTCGGTGCGCCCTTCGCTTGAGGGACACCCCGAGAATCGATCGGACGCCGCAGCGATGAATGGTACGTGGTCGCGGCGTAGAATACCTACGTAGGCGGAAGTGGTGAAATAATTAAATCGTATAATGGCGAACGCCCGCGCTTGCTATATACCTACGTCAATATTTATCCGGGTAGAATGTAGTACGGAAATAGTTCCATAATGACGTCAATTCCTACACTTGTGACTTATTTAAGCGACAAATGAAGTCCTTGTGACCTATCATGTGACCTTACACCTATAATGATATCATTATAACTTCTGCATTCTACTCTCTTGAATATACTGCGCGCTTACCTTCAAGTCCGCACATCACCTACTTGCTTCTTTTCCCCCGCGCTAATTCCTCCTTTTTGCTCCGCCATTTATTTAAATACGTCTCCTTTTCAAGTTTGTCGAAAAATATTTGTACTTAATACGGAAACACGCGCGTAGGAAAATTCAGTTTAATATGCTTACTTAATCCCTATATAGGGTAAGCCGAGAGTCTCGGGATCTTCATAAATTCATACCTAAAGACGCTCGATATGACTCGCGAATGAAATATGTATACACGGAGAAGAAGTTTATTTAACTCGTAAATCAGGGGCGGGTAAATAAATTTTTTTCAGACCGTTATAAATTTCTTGCCGCGGCACTTCCGCCCTCCGTGAAGAGTAGGTATAAAACGCGGTTTACTGTTTTCTTGGAAATATAACGGCTTTTAAGAAGGGAACCCTTGCAGGATCGAGATCGATGGATCATCATCGCGCTTACAAGCAGTTCATGCAGCCGGTCGACAATTCTCTCCAGACGAAGGACGACGTCAAATCCTCCATGATGCCGGCGGTGAGCACGAAATCCTTTCAGCAGCTGCAACTGAATCCCACGACGTGGTCGATGCCGCATCCGGTCTGCTTCTTCGGCTATCCCGGCCAGCCCGCCGCCGGTGTGCCCGCGTCGCTGTCACCGGCGTCGTCGGCGGCGTTTTACCCGGCCTCCTCCTCCTCCGCCGCGCAAGGTCGCGGATTTTCGTTCCAGAATCCGTCGTCTCACCAGGCCTCCCCCCCGTTGCTGCCGAACATGCAGGTGCAGGCGAACACGGTGCAATTTCTGCCCGGCAGACCTAACTACGTCGGCGGTCTGGCGCCGCCGACGGGACCAGGCGTCGGCCCCACGGGACCCGCCGTGTCGAACTTCCCGTCGATCTTCCCGCTGAATCAGCAGCAACCCGCGGTTATGTCCCAGCCGCAGCAGCAGCCAGTCGCAAACATGCCGTATTTTTGCGGCTATATGTCACTGCCGACCATCCGCTTCCCGCCGATCCCCGGCACGTCGCAATTCGACCGTTCAGCCGACGAAGCGAAAGACTCGCTGTTAAAAGAATCACAAAAACTACCGCACGGCGGTGTTATCGTGCGACCTGATCCCACCTTATCTTTACGTAAGTGAAGTTTATGCAGATTTAATCGAATAATAATTATAATCGGTGTAAAGGATTCTCAGTATTGAAAAAATGAGATTTCTATTTCTATTATTATTTTATAAGTATCTTGCGAAGATTCTTTCGAATTATGTTATCTACATCATTTCTCTTTTCTAACATATTCGTTTAATTTTCTCTATCTTAATTATCTTATAAAATCTATTGTGTTTTTTTTCTAACGTATTGCGAAAAGCTTAAATGAAGATAAAATTTTTTGAAGAAGTAAATTAGAATGTCATCTTTAACGACGTGATAATTATTTTAAAAATTGTTCTCTCAATTGAAAATTGAAAATCTCTCAAAATAATGAAATTTCAATTTCTATTATTATTAGATATCTTGCAAAGATTCTTTCGAATTATGTTATCTACATTATTTCTGTTCTAACATATTCGTTTAACCCTTTATGGTCATACTAGGTCAAAATGGCCCGAGCATAACCTTTTACACTAGATTTTAGAAATCTTCAAAATAAATATCTCTTTTTTCAAACACGTATAATTATACTATTTTTTTCTTAAAAGTGCATCATCTCAAAAGTGTTAGGCTAAAATTTTGTTTTAAAATACTAAAAATTAAAAAAGTTATGATTTTTTAAGTAAAAAGACTCATTTTTTCAAAGTTAACGTTTACCATTTTTTTTTAATGTTAAGATTAAATTTTTCACTAAAACGCTATTGTTCTATTTTCTTAAAGATTGAAATTATATACTGTAATTTTTTAAAGTTAATAATAGAATTAATACTGTTGACTTTAAAAACAGCTCGGATCATATTTCTGTTCCAGTATGACCATCGTGTAACTATTATGAAGTGTTGACCATGAAGGATTAATTTTCTCTATCTCATATAATATCTATTATGTTTTCTTTTCTAACATACTTCAAAAAGCTTAGATTGAGATGAAATTTTTTGAAGAAGTAAATCAGAATATCATCTTTAACGACATAATAATTTTGAAAATTGTTATTAAGAGCTATCAAAATAATAAAATTTCAATTTCTATTATTATTGTATTTTGCAGATTTCTTGCGAAGATTCTTTCAAATTATCTTGTCTATATCATTTCTCTCTTCTAATATATTCTAATCTTATTTATCTTAAATTATTTTATCCATCATATTTTTTTCTTTTTAGCATATTTTGAAAACGTAAAGTTTAAATTGAGACAAAATTTTCTGAGAAGATAAATTAGAGCATCATTTTTAAAGGCGTGATAATTGTTTTTTAGAGCCCACGTTCAACAAATGTCCTGTTAATTATCGTCAGTGCGATAATTCGCATTGCATACCAAGGGTGAAATGGTGCGACGGCCGTGTTGATTGCAGCGATGCCAGCGACGAGACGAAATGCTCATGCAGAGATCGAATATTACGAGACCGACTCTGCGACGGTTACTTTGATTGTCCACATGGAGAGGACGAACTCGGTTGTTTTGGTAAAAAAAAAAACATTTTATTTTCACACGTTTTAAATAAATAAATAAAAATTGAATGTGTTGAGACGTTGTTCACATTCAGTATTTTTTTTTAGTACTTTTTTTAGCACATTACATTTTTATATTTTCATCTAAAGAAATTTTTGAGCTATAGTTAATTTTTAACATTACGTAGCAATAAAATTAAAGCGATATATGTAACACAACAGGAATCTAGATAACCAGCTGAGCACACAATTGTTTCCTTATCTTGAAAATCGAAAACTAATTAAGAATTAAAATAAAGAATTACGTTTAGCTGTGCATTTGCATTGTTAAAAAATAATAGCTTGTCATACATCTTTTTTTTAATATTACTATGATTGTCCACCAGATGACGCTAAATACTGGTCTCAAACTTACGGAAGCTACTTTATCCGCGAAACATTTCTTTTCCGGCAAGCGGCTTATACAAAATATAATCACACCATATTTGAAATATAATTTCATCACGACATATTTATTCTTAGAAAGAGATAAAGTCTTATGTAAAACATAAGAAAAAAGATTTGAAATATGCTTTTTTAAGAGGATGCTAAAGCCGTCTGTTTTATCGACAAAAATACTATTTTTGTTGGTTACTAACTACTTCGTATTAATCGCATAAAATAAAATTTCCTTTTCCACGATTAAAACACACATGCTAATGTATCTGGCTCTGGTGCATTTTGTACCAAAAACGGGAAAAAATGAAATAATTACAAGATCGGAAGAGCACACGT